ACATCCCCAGCCTTTTTTACTTTTAATTTTGAGACAGGGTCTCCCTATGATTCTGAGACTGGCTTCAAAGTTGGGATCCTCCTGCCTCAGTGCCTCAAATCACTGGGATTATAGGTGATCACCAGTGTGCCTGGACCTGCATTGCATTTCTGTGTTCCTGTGTGTGTGTGTGTGTGTGTGTGTGTGTGTGTGTTGGGGCTAGGGCTAGGGCCCAGAGCTTTGCACATGCCACACAAATGCTCTATTACTGAGCCACGCCCCCAGCCCTTCCCCAGGTATTTACTTAGAACCTAGGCTCTGTGAGTAGAGCGGGGAGCGTGGCTGGTGATGTTCAGCCCTCTTGCAGGTGACAGGAGAAAACATATTACAAAGGAAAGATAACTTTTGAATGTGATGATAACATTTGAAAAGAATCCAACATACATGACATAATGATGCATATGGGAAGAAACTGGCCAGGTGCAGTGGCACACACCTGTCATCCAAGTGGTTAGGAAGGCTGAGGCAGGAGGATCGCAAGTTCAAAGCCAGCCTAAGCAACTTAGGGATGCCCTGAGCAACTAAGCAAGACCTGGTCTTAAAATAAAAAGGGCTGAGGATATGGCTCATTGGTTAAGCACCTCTGGGTTCAATCCCTTGTACCAAAAAGAAAAAACAAGTGCTTGTAGATGGCTTCCTGGAGGAGGTGACACTTAAAGGTGCAAAGGAGCAAGTCAGGTGAAGGAATGGGGGAGGCCAGAGCAAAGGGCCTGAGGGCAGGAGGCAGGAGGAGGCCAGTGCAAAGGGACAAGGTGACTGGGTTTGGGCAGGGAGGGGAGAAAGGCAGGCAGGAGCCTGGTCACTCTGAGCCTTGAGAGTCCTGTTAAGTGTTTGGATTTTGTTTGAGGTGGACGCATTCATCTTACTAAGTAGCCACAAATGCATGACTCTGAGTGCTCATTACTTGCGTCATTACTCAGGGTTGTTTTTGCAGCAGGCAAGTCGAATGGATGAGGTTCTCCTCCCATAACAGGAGGAGGTTTGTTTCCTGCTTGCTAAAGTAGTGGTTCCCTAAGCCACAGACACACACACACACACACACTCAGTCACTCACTCACTCAGGAACACAGAAATGCAGTGCAGGTCCAAGCACACTGGTGATCACCTATAATCCCAGTGATTTGAGACACTGAGCTCCTCTTCCATGATGCAGACGGGCCTGTCCACCTATGAGAACTGGGACTAAGGAAACCAGGGGACCATGCTCAAAAAAAAGTAGCACACTCTGCCTGCTACTTTTGTTCGAGTAACGGGCCTTTTGTCTCTGACCCCAGAGTCTTCTGTCTTTCCATCTGTTCCTCTTAGCAGACACAAAACAGAGATGTTAATTTGTTAGCCTGAAAGCACAGCGAATCCTCAGATGACTTTTGGAAGGGGTGTGTGTGTGTGGGGGGGGGCACAGGGCAGGCAGGTAGAGGGCACAAGTGGAAAGGACGCAGTGAAACAGCGAGAAGGCTCCTGTAGAGGTCCAGATGGAAGAAGGCAACTCGGCCTAGAATGCGAGCCGGGGAAATGGAGGGCAGCAGGTTGATCTGGGATTTACTCTGGAGGTAGAGTTGTCAGTTCTTGCGAAGGATGTAAGAGATGAGGGAGGGAGGACTGGGAGTAACCCCTGGGAGCAGCTATGTGGATAGTCGGGCCACGAGTGAGATGGGGAAGATGGAGGACGAGCTGTGTCTGATGGACTCTGTTTTGGCCATTGGAAGCCTGAGATCCCCACGGGGTGTCCGAGGAGGCTTTGAGGGTCTGGAGCTTGTGGGGAGGCCTGGGACGGAGATGTGGAGTTGGTGACATGGAAAACCATGTGCTGGTATATTGGCCCCACCCAGCTAGGAGCTAGCCCATTTGCGTGTTCTGCAGAACCTCCTAAGCTTTCCAAGTGGAACCAACAGCTAGAGCTGGAGGCCCCTATCTGGTCCCGGTGGCCATCCATGTTCTCACGTCCAATGTCACTTAGTACAGAGAGGCTCTGGAGCCAAATAGCCAGCCTTCAGGATGCTGAACTCTGAGCTTCACCCGCTGCTCTTAGTGCGCCAATGAGCAGATGGCTCAGCTGCTTTACACTCCAGCTGTCAATCTCCCTAACAAGGATACTGGTGCCCACCTCTGGGTTGTCACAGGTATTAAACGCAATAGCTCATACTCTTTAGTACCATGCTGACCATAAGAAGCACTATCCACATTAGCTGCTATTACTGCTGGGGACTGAATTCTTTCCCCCCAAATACGTCTATGTTGAAGCCCTTACCCCAATACCTTAGCACGTGACTGTATTTGGAGGTACCATTAAAGAGATAATTTGGGTTGAAATGAGGCCACTCAGGTGGACCCTAATCCAATGTAAGTGGTGTTTTTATAAGAGAAGAGATTAGGGGCAGCCTGGGTGTTCACACACAGAGCAAAGGCCACAGGAGGACACAGTGAGAAGACACACATCGGTTGGCCAAGGAGACAGGAGGCAGAGTTTGGGTTTGAGGGTCCCCAGAAGCTCCTGTGTGGATGCAGGAGTGCTCAGAGTGAACTGATTGGGTTGCTGGACCCATGACCTACTCAGTCCATCCCAGTCTGAATGGTCGGACCGGGTGGTGACTGTAGGCAGGCGGGACATGGCCGGAGGAGGTGGGTCACTGGGGGCTGCCCTGACAGGGTTGGTCTTCCTGCAGCCCCCTCCCCGCTCTCTCTTTTCTGGCTGTCTGGAATGGAGCAGTGCCCTCGGCCACACCCTTTCACTTTGTGCCCAGAGCCTTGGAGTCGGCCATCTGTGGACTGAGACTTCTAAAACCATGAGCCCTAAATAAAATTTTTCTCCTTCAAGTTGTTCTTGTGGTACCTGGCACATTGCTGCACATTTGTAATTGCAAAGTCTCTGTCTCAGAATAAAAAATAAAAAGGGCTAGGGATGTAACTTAGTAGTAAAATGTTCCATTCCCAGTAACCCTCACCCCTCACCCCCACCCCCCAAAAAAGTTCTTGTTGAGTATTCTGGTCACAGTGACACAAAGCTGGCAAAAGTCCACAGGAAACCAAACCTGCCTGTACCTTGATCTTGAATTTCCTACCTCCTGAACAATGAGAAATCAATCTGTGGTACCTGTTACAACGGCCTGAGCAAACCAACACTCGGTCTCTTCCTCCAGTGTGTGATCTCTTGCTCTGCTCTGGGTCAGCCACTGATCCAGGCTCTGTAGGCAAAGTAGTAAACCAAACCAAGTCTCTGTCTTCATGGAGCTGGTATTCTGATGGGGGGGGGGGCAGATAGTGGACAAAGAATCAAATGGAAAACAGCAAAACAGGGTATCCTGGGGACAGTGTTGTGCCACCAAGGACCTGTTCTTCAGAATAGTAACCGCCATCCTCTGGGGAATGTTGACTGTCAGTGACTTTCAGGCAAGTCTCTCTGCTAAAAGCCCTCAACTGGCTGGTTTACGTGGTGATATAAAGGTGGTGCCTCAATTTGGGCCATCTCTATAGATTGTCCCATCTCTAAAGCTTCCTGTGGGAAGCTGAGGCTCTCGTGTAGTAGAGTTAGAAAGTGTTGGCTGGGGGCTGGGGATGTGGCTCAAGCGGTAGCGCGCTCGCCTGGCATGCGTGCGGCCCGGGTTCGATCCTCAGCACCACATACCAACAAAGATGTTGTGTCGGCCGAGAACTAAAAAATAAATATTAAAAATTCTCTCTCTCTCTCCCTCCTCTCTCACTCTCTCTTAAAAAAAAAAAAGAAAGTGTTGGCTGGCTGGATAGATGGATGGATTGGTGGATGGATGGATTGGTGGATGGATGGATGGGTGGGTGGGTGGGTGGATGGATTCATGGTAGGATGGATGGTTTAATGGCCAAATGGATACCTTATATATCACCTGTTCACACTCTCCTTGGACCTCCCACTTGACATCAGCCAAACCTGTTGTGCCCGAAGGCACGTGGGTTGTGCTTTTCCTATGCATATCTTGCTACTGCCTGGCCTCTTCCCCTTCGCTGTCTGAAGAGCATCCTGATAGTATGGAGCCCACACTAGCTCTGGAGCCAGACATTCGGCCCCAAGTTTGACTTGGCCATCTCACCT